ATAATGTTATATAATCAGTGGTAGCAGGAAGCAGCATGTGTGACTGTGACATCACCTCCTGCTTCTTCTTCTCTTGGTGTTTGTTGTTGTCAGGACGTCCCAGATGAATTGTGGGAGCTGTTGGAGTTGGAGAAGTTGAACTTGTCTCTGAACAGTCTGAAGGTTCTTCCTCCTCAGCTCGCTCTGCTCTCAAACCTGGTTGTTCTCAACCTGTGGGGGAACCAGGTAAACATCTGTCAGAGTTAGTGAACGAGAGGAAGAGCGAGCGCACGTCACGATAAATGACGTGCACCCAGTGTCTGTTGTCACTACTCTGACATGTTGGATTGAATGTCCACTGTAAACGTTGATCTAAATTCTAAATTAAACAGTGATGAGGTGCCACAGGGTTCTGTCCTCGGTCCTCCAACGATCTGCATATTTGTGATTCTTTCATATTCAACATTTGACACAAAATATAAAAACAGGTCTCTCTCCATTTGATTTCTCGCTGTAAAGATTCAGTTTATCTGAAGCTGTTTTCAGAATAAACTCTGGACATGTCCCTGAAATGTTCTGGAGGTTCTGTATGTGAGGAACCTGGGACATTTTCTGGAACTTTTCCTGCAGCCCCAGTAAAATGTCTGGAAAACGTCAGAAAAAAAGATGTTAAACTTTGACTTTTCCCATAATGCACCTGGCTGAGTTACCTCATAGCAGCCTGAACTGGTCTTCATGTGAATAATGGAATGATTCTTTAAACGTCTAATCACCCTCATGATAAACAAACTGAAGCCAACAGCAGAGTCGAGGTTCTAGTCCGTGTGCCCATGAGCAACCCCCCCCGGCTGCTGCTGTCTGCCTGTGTAAATAAAGGTTAAAATAAAGGTCAGAATAATCCTCCGTTAATCCTCCAGGATCCAGTTTCTGTTGCATCGTTCCTTCAACCTTCAACTGTCAAACACCAGAACAGCACAGCGACGCCCCCTGCAGGCTGCAGCTCTCATTACAGCCACAGTACAATCAATATGTTTCTATTAATAAAGACTGGAAATATGATATTTTACATGTAAAACTTCTTCATATAATAATTGGTAATTAAATACCACTGTAGATGTTTATCCTAAATTAATCAATAGTTTTATGGTGATTTTTGCTGCAATATTACTGTGCTGTTGTTGTTGTATTGTTGTGCTGTTGTTGTCTTGTTGTGTCATTGAGTTGTTGTTGTTGTTGTGTGCAGTTGAGCAGTCTGCCGTCAGAGATCGGTCAGTTGAGGAGACTCCGAGTTTTATTTGCCTACAGAAACAGACTCACTGAAGTTCCTGAGGAGCTGGGAGCATGCACACAACTGGAGGTACGAATACACAAAAGACCACATGAAATACACAATAAAGCACAAAAGCATCCACTTGGATCATCTGATGTTGTGAGTTAACGTCGGAGCTGTGTCACCTGTAACATGTTATTTATTTAAGGAGAATGACAAAAGAACCTTGTGGTTCTCCACAGGATGCAAGTGTGGACGAAGACTTACCTGTTAAAGTAAGACAGCTGTTTTTTGTGTTGTCTGTCTCTCAGGTGCTGAGTTTAGCCAACAACCAGCTGTCCTCGCTGCCAGTGTCTCTGTCCAATCTGACCCGACTCAGGAAACTCAACCTCAGCCATAACCACATTGCTCACATCCCGGGCTGCGTCTACAACATGAAGGCACTGGTAAGTTACACAACAGTCAGAAAAAACAAACACAGCAGCTCAGTCATTCACCAGGGGGGGTCACAGAGACACTACGTAACAACCTGTTGGTTACAGTTAGTTACCTCCTCTATAACGTTAGGTGTTCCTACATCTGGCCTCTAACCATCTGGAGAACCTGGCAGAGAACATCCAGGCTCTGGTGGAACTTAAGATCCTCATTGTGGAAGGAAACAGCCTCCACTCACTGCCAAAGGCCCTCTGCTGCCTGACCAGGTAACAGACCAGGTAACTGACCAGGTAACTGACCAG